TCTTTTTTATATTTGTTGTAAGGCTTCCAATTGTTGTTGCTGAGGCTTCCAATCATCATACATATCTCTATATGTGTAACACACTTGAGCCTTTTTGTTCCTATTTTCATCTAAAATGCAATATTTTGCAAAATGAGGACCATTAAAACTATAACACCCAATCTGAATTGCATTGATCGTTTGATTCACCTTCTTCATATCTCTCCACAATGCATCCAATTTACCAATCAATACTACAAGGCCATCTGAATTGGAGAATTAAGGTTGCGTTTAGTTACGGAAAAACAGTTTTCATTTTTCGTTTTACGTTTTTCCTTTTCAGTTTTCGTTTTCCGTTTTAGTTTTCATTGGAAATTTTAAAAAAATGTGTTTAGTTAAAACTTATTCATTTTTCATTTTCAGTTTTAGAAAATTAGAAAAAGCGTTTAGTATTGTGTATATTTCTACCGGTTTTCATTTTTAGAAAACGGTAGCGGTGGTAGGGTGGGGGTGGGGGTAGCGGTAGGGGGCATTGGTGGTGTCGATAATGGTGACGGTGGTGATGGTGGTGGCGATGGTGATGGTGATGACAGGAAGTGGTGGTGGCGGCAGCGATGGTGGTGATTGCGGCGATGGTGGTGATGCTGGTGATGGGGTGGTGGTGATGGCAATGGTGATGGTAGGTCGATGATTGTGGTAGGTGGTTGTGTGTGTGGGTGGGGTGGGTTTATATGGGGTGGTGTGGGTGTATTTGTTGTGTGTGTGGGTGGGGGGGGGGGGGGGGGGGGGTGGGTGTGTGTTTGTGTGTGGGGGGGTGTGTGTGTGTGTTTGTGGGGAGTAGGTGTGAGTGGGGGTTGGGGTGGGAATGTATTTGTGGGGGTGGGTGGGGTTGGGGTGGGTGTTTGTTTATGGGTATGTGTGTGTTTGTGGGGGTGGGTGTGGGTGTGGATGTGTGTTTGTGTGTGTGTGTGTTTGTGGTTATGTGTGTGTTTGGGGGGTGGGGTAGGTGTGTGTTTGTGTGTGTGTGTGTTTTTTTTTGGGGGTGGGCTTGGGAGTGGGTGGGTGTGGGTAGGTAGGGGTGTGGTGTGTTGAGGGTGTTAAGGTGGGGCTAGGCTAGGTAGAGGTGGGAGTGAGTGTGTGTTCTCTTTTAGAAAAAAATAGAAAAACTGTGGCAACACCACTATTTGGGTTTTTCCCACAAACCTTTCCAACTTCTTTGTATTTTAGAAAACGAACATTTTAATTTTCCGTGAAAATTTTAAAAAATAGACGAACTAAACGCGCTTTCAAAATTCTCATTTTTCTTGGAAAAATTTTCTGGAAAACGGCCCATTTTTTCGCAACTAAACACACCCTAAGGTTGCGTTTAGTTACGGAAAAACAATTTTCATTTTTTGTTTTTTGTTTTTCGTTTTCCCTTTTCAATTTTCATTTTCCATTTTCAGTTTTCATTGGAAAATTTGGAAAACGCGTTTAGTTAAAACTTATTCATTTTTCATTTTCAGTTTTAGAAAATTAGAAAACGTGTTTAGATGTGTATTTTTCTATTGGTTTTCATTTTTAGAAAACGCTAGCAGTGGTAGGGTGGGCGTCGGGACTGGGGCGGTGGTGAGAGCAGCGGCTGAGGGCAGTGGTGGTGTCGATGATGGCGATGGTGGTGGTGGTGGTGGCGGTGGCAGCGGGGTGGCGACAGTGGTGGTGATGACAGGCGGTGGTGGTGGCGGCGGCAATTATGGCAGTGGTGGTGATGGCGGCGGTGGTGGTGGTGGTGATGGGGTAGTGGTGGTGGTGATGGTGATGGTAGGACGGTAATTGTAGTAATGGTGTTGGGTGTGTGGTTTGTTGTGGGGGGGGGTATGGGGGGGTGGGGTGTGGGTGTGAGTTTTGTGTGTGTGTGTGTGTTTGTGGGGGTGGGGGTGGGGGTGGCGCGTGGGTGTATGTTTTGTGGGCGTGGGGGTGGGTGAGGGGTGTGTTTTTGTGGGGGGTGGGTGTGGGTGTGTGTGTGTGTTTGTGGGTGTGTATGTTTGTGGGGTGTGTGTATGTTTGTGGGTGTATGTGTGTGTGTGTGTTTGTGGGTGTGGGTGTGGGTGTGTGTGTTTCTTTGTGGGTGTGTGTGTGTGTGTTTGTGGGGGTTCATGTGTGTGTGTATGTGTTTGTGTGTGTGTGTATGTGTGTGTGTTAGTTTGTGGGGGTTGGTGGTGTTGTGTGTGTGTGTGTGTTTGTTTGTGGGGGTGGGGGTGGGGGTGGGTATGGAAGTCCGTGTCGTCGGTCGGGGTGTGGTGGGTTGGGGGTCTTCCTGCGCGGTCGGTAGCGGTGGCCTGGGGTGGGCGTGGGTGTTTTCTCTTTTCGACCCCTTTTGGCCTTGCCCCCGGGCCCTTTGTTCGCACCCGTCCTACCTCTTTTCACCCCACTTCCCCTTTTCGTCCCCCCCCCCCCCCCATTTGCCTCTCCCGCCAGTCCCGCTTCTTTCCTTTTGGCTCTCCAGTTTCCCCACCCCCCTCCTTTTTTTTTTTCTTTTCCTCCGCCCTGCCATCTTATCCTGTTTTCCCCCTCCTCGGGCCTTCCCTGTTCACCCCCCCTCTTGGGCCTCCCGTGTCCACTTTCTTGCAACCTTTTGGGCCTTTCTGCCACTTTTCCCTTCGAAAAATCTGGAACCCAATGCTTCTCCGTTTTCCCCCACTTTCCCCTTCTTTGTATTTTAGAAAACAGCCACCTTTTCCTTTTCCGTGCCCCCCAATTAGAAAAATAGACGAGCCCCGCGTTTTTCCAATTCCTCATTTTTTTTGGCCTTATTTTTTCGGCCCCCGGCTCATTTTTCTGCAACTAAACGCACCCTAAGTTTTTCTGGGGTTAGGTTTAGGTCGGAGGCCCGAAAAGATTGATAGGCTTTAAGATTTGTAATTGACTAGTGACAAAGTATGTGATGAAAGATAATCAGGTATTAATCCTGGTTTTGGGTTACAATATTGTGTGACCAAAGCGAGGTTTGGCGGCCTACTTCCTGTTGTAGAGCCTTATAACGGCTTTGACGGTACGTGAAAATTTTGTGGGTTGTAGAGCCTTATGGCAGCTTCGACGTTATGTGAAAACTCAATTGCTTTAGCAGAGGTTGATAGATTAAGGGTGTGAACCTAATTATGGATCTCAGTTTTCAATCCTCTTAAGAACCATTTGATTTAATGTTCTTCAATTTGATTCGGGATATGAGGGATGAAAGTGCTTCAAACTCGGAGATGTAATCCTCGACACAATCTTCTTGGAAAAGTGATTTGAGTGCTTCGTGAGCATTACCGTAACGAGTACTGCTTTTACTATTGTTATATATGTATTGCACGTGATATTCGGGTGTTTTGAGCTTTGTTTTGGTTAAAAATAAGATAAATGGTACTAATTAAGTTTGAATTCAATTTTGTAGTTAAAAGACTTTGCTGGAACAAAAGAAGTAGAAATATAATGATGAGGAATGGAGAACGTGACGTGCCAAGATAAGATACTAAGGGATAAGAAATCGCAGAGTGTTGAAGAACACGACACGTTTTTATGTCGGTTATGAAAACTATAAATAAAGCCGTATTTTTTACTTAATGAGAGCAGCCGTTCCTAGGCTCTTTTGAGGACCAGAAGCACTCGAATGGCGATTTCAATGCTGGAGAGAAGATTTGGAGCAAGGATTTGAAGGATCGAGAGTAAAATCATTAGGTCTTCATTCGATTTGCTTATTTGATATGATTAGCATTCATACTATGATTTCATTTTGTTTTTTACTTATGATTATGAGCTACAAAGTTGTTTTCACTTAGACCCTAATGTTATGATTTGATTTCTATACTTTGGATATTTTTGTAGTTATTTATTTTATCATTGTTTGTTAGATCAAAAATACATGTGTTAAAGTTTCTATCTTTGATTCTTTATGACCTATTGTTGAGTTAATATAGTTTAGATGACCATTCCAATTACATTTGCTTGAATCATAATTGTTTTTTTACCATTAGACATATATGACTAGTAACCAACTAAATCCTAGGTTAGGTTATAAAAGTAGTTAAGTTTAATGTGTATAAACAACTGCATGTGATAACCATCCAGTGTAGTTGACTGATTATAAGGCCGGAGGGAGTGGTGCCACCGAAACCGCACTCCCTCCCCCGCCATATAAGCGTCACGTCACTTTTTACCACACAAGTGTGGTTTCTTGCCACACCAAGGGAGTGGTGCCACACTTTTATTTTCTTTTTTTTTGTTTTTTTTAGCTATTTTAATTAAAACTTCTTTTTTAATAAAAAACATAATTTTTCATTACTTGAAAATTAAAAAAAAAACATTACATCGCATTACACACACAAAAAAAAAAAAAAAAAAAAAAAAAAAAAAAAAAAAAAAAAAACATGACATTTTTGAGAGAGAGTGGTGATTTTTTTTTTTAAATTTTGAGAGAGAGGAGGTTGTATTATGGTTAAAAACAAATGAATTGTATATGTATATATAGGAAAGAAAGGAAAAAAGAAAAAAAAAAAAAAAAAGCAACGCCCAAAAGCATTCAACGGTTAATTATTCCACCAGCCAATCACGTGACGCGGTACTCCCCAGCCGTAGTGCGGCCAAAACCGCACCAGCCGGCAGTCTGGGACGGTGTGCGTGGTCCAGCTGGCACAAACCGCGGTCCTAGACCGCAGCCACACCCTCCAGCCTAATGACCATTGAGATCAATAGATTAAATATTGTATGATATGAGCTTAAAGACTGATAATAAGGTTAGTTAATTACATGATCATTGTGTTAGCGCTTATGATCATAAGGTTAGTAAATCGGACCAAGCGACCTAACCACATTAGTAAATCTAATGATTTTCAGAAAAGGATTCCATCACAGGGATATTCTTCCTGCCCAAGCTCAAAGCAGAAAAACAAATTCAGGGAAAAAGGATAAATTTAATAGATAAGGAGCAATTTCATTCACGTGGTCTTCTATGTGCTTCCTCTCCAAACTCAATTTGAGAAGGACACATATCATTTTTCTTATCACAATGCAGCAAATTTAGTGGCAACACCTATCTCATCTTCCGGATGCTTTTGCTTCCTTTCCTTCATAAATCTATAAAAACCAAAGCGAATATGAGATTATATTCACTTCAATAATAAATAGACTTGGAGTAAAATATGGCCATTTACTTCTACATCAGAAAGAAGGGTGGGGGTAAAATGGCCATTCACTTCTACACCATAAAGAAGGGTAAAGTGGTACTTTACTCAAGTTAGACAGTTCATTAGACCAAAAAAGAATCAGACTTTGTGTATGCAACACTTACATCACTTTAAATGTTGTAGACTACCTTCCCAGCAGTGTTTCAGAAGTTTTGGCACCAAATGAGAACTGAAAACAGATAAAATTGAGGCTTTAATTAGATAAAGAGTTTTTCAAGAGAAGTACGATCATAATATGCAATTTATTTATACTCACCCTTGATCCATAAACCTAAACTGTATCAAACCAAGTTATACCACTATCAATACTTGCAAGCTTTCATCTTCCTATCTGCCATCATCCGGAAGAGAAACCAAGTCCCAATTCCAGTTTCACTTTCAGTCAGAAACCAATAGATGATAGAACATATAAGCTTTAAAAAGTTCATTGAGGACTTTTAACAAACAGCTGGTGGGCAAACTTTTCAACATTTAATCAAACTTGCCATCGCATTCAAAATTGTTCCAATAACTGGTATCTCCTGTTAGCTTCACAAACTTAACTTCCTCGGATCGGGATAAAAGAAACCAGGGCACTATTAATCCTTTGGTTATTGTCAGTATATATAATTTCCAACACTATCAATCCGCACGTTCTCCAAGCTTGGAAAAACAACCTGTTTTGCACAATTCGTTTACTTCATAGTTCCATAGACTATGTACCAAAAAAAAAAAAAAAAAAAAAAAAAAAAAAAAAAACAGCGCACGTTACCTTTTCACCAAAGTACGCTTCAATGGAGTTTGAAGTTGCAACCATTTTAGAACAGTTGAGTATCCGTAGTTCTTTCAAAGAGAGCCACTTTAAAGCAGAAGCCTTGGCACAAAAACTAACCAAATTTGGTAGATTTTCAAGCTCGATGTGACATATCTGAGGGAGAATTAAATCATCTGGTTCTGATTCACGTTCATTATTTCCAATAATCACTTCCACTGAGATACATGAATCTACTTTCAGTTTCTGGAGCCTGGGTACACCTCTAGCTACTGATGATGTGAAGATGCAATCTACGTGATCACATCTAGAAACTTCAATGGAAGTAAGTCTTTGAAACCTATGAGGCATGTTTGGACACCATAGTTGTCTCAAATTTGGTAGATTTTCTAAAACTAAGCTAACCAATCTGGTTAGTGAAACGGAAGAAAGATTTTGGTGGGGTTTTGGGTTTTTAAGGGTAAAGATTTCTTCAAGTGAAATGCAGTTTGTTACATGAATTTCTTCCAACATCTGTAATCTTGGAAGCAGATTGATTGGAAAAAGGTTTTGTAGTTGATCACAGTTGATGACTTCCAGGATTTGAAGTTTGGTAAAGCTCTTTTCTTGAAGGTGGGTTTCCCATATGCCATTTAAGCTGTTTAATCCATCCAAGTTTAATGTTTGCAAATTAGGCAATGAAACCTACACAATCCGATTACAAAATATGGATTTAAATCTTTTTTCAACAAGGAAACCCAAAAATTGAAATAGTTTCATGTGTCTTGGATTTAAGGAGTATAATACAACACAATAACACATACCTTTTCACTGAAGAGGGATTTCTCCTCCTGATGCACATGAGAAGCAACAAATGCTTTCATTTTGGGGCAACTCTTGATTTCAATCATCTCCAACAATGGGAACAATAAACTACTACTCCCTTGGGAAAAACTTGAGAGTTCTGGTAGATCTTCAAGGTCAACAGAACATAATTCAGACAGCACAATAACATCATCTTCTCCTTCATTGGCAAATATTGTTTTCATTGTCTTACATGAACGTACCTTCAGTTGTTGAAGTTGAACAAGATTCTTCATTGCATGAACAGAGAAAAGATGGATCAAACCATCACATTCATAGATGTGTAGAGAATTCAAGTTCCTTAAGCTTGTATATGCATAAGGGTCGATGTTCCACCATAGATGCTTCAGTAATGGTAACTTTCCCAAGTTTAGGTCTCTAACAGATGGCAAAGTTGCTAATTTTGCATCATCATTTTGGAGGTTATTGTTAAGTTCACAGACCTCTTGTACCAAATCACACCACTCTATGGAGAGGATTTCAAGATTTGGTAACATGTGTTGCATATATGAAGGGAAAACAAGCTGTAGGTTGTCACATCCGAATACAATTAGGATCCTCATGCTGCAAAAGTTTGCAGCAGAAAGTTGGAAAGACCAAATCTCATTGACAGAATGCAATTCACGAAGAGTCAACTCTTCAAGGGAAGGAAAGTCAACCTTTGAATTGAAAAGGGGTTCTTGTAGTGAAGCTAAATTAGCATCTCCTTCAGGGCAGAAACTCTCAAGACTTGGCAAAAACTCGAGCTTTATTGACTTTAACTTTGATAGGGCAATTCGACTGGATGAAACTGAAACAGCTTGATCTTTTGATAGTATTACTTTCAAATCTTCACAGGAGGAAACATATAGTTTTTGAAGCTCTGAAAGATCTCCAGCTGTGGATTGTGAAAGAAGGTGTTTGAGTTTGTGACAATCAGATACATATAGAGTCCTTAGATTTCGTAAGCATACATTTCCCAGAGGATCCATCCACAAACAAGTTAATTCTGGTAAGATGCTCAACATTAATTCACGTAACTCACAGAAGGATTGATCAGGGAGATGATCATAACATATTGTTTTAAGATCAGCTGCAGAAACAACCTTCAACTTTTCCAAAACTGGAAAGATGTTTGTGTCAATCAAAGACTCAACCCCAGTGTAACCATACACCTCCAAACATTTCAAATGTCTGAAACCTTTTCTCAAGTCATAGACAATGCTATTCAAGTCTTCTAGATAGTTCACAATTGAATAATCCAAGATTAGATGTTGAGCTCCTTTCAGCAACTTATAGATCCCACTATGTAAACTAAGACCATGATAGAGTGCAAGTGTCAAGGTTTTGGGGTATGAGTAACTGATCACCTGGCTAACCATACCTACAAAGATTTTGAATCTTACCAAGTTTCCAAACAGTAGATCTTTAGGGAAAAGATTGACATCTGGGACATGCATTTCTAAAGTGGTCAAGTGAAACAAGTGCTTCAGCTCACCAAGGGTTGCTTGACTTTGACCTTCAGAGTCAAACCCCCATTGGACAAAGCTATTCATCATGTACAAGCATTCCAAGTTGGACAAATTTGAGAACACACCAAATGGAATTGATGTCAGATTCTTACAATCTGTCAAATCTAAAAGCCTCAAGCGCGAGAGTTCTCCAATTTCCTTTGGTAATTTTTCGACATCTGAGTGCACAAAGCTAAGGATTTCTAGGTTCTTCAGCTCTTTAACTTGTGACACATCTCCTAACTTGCAATGCTCAAGGCACAATGCTAGGAGTTTTTTTAAAGCTAGAAATGATGATGGTATAGATGGGATAGACACATGATGCATGAGTACAACCTTGAGCTCTTTCATTCCATCAAAGAAATTACCTGAAAACTGCATTGACCCCATAGAACCTTCCACTCGCCATAATTGAAGCTTTGGAAAGTCTATGCCAATGGGAAATTCTTCAAGTTCATTTAATACCATTGATATCGCATAAGAATTACTGAACTTGTTTTCATTAGGTGAATCTAGATATCCAGGCATCAACTTCTCCAAAAAGACGTAAAGACCCTTGGAAGCTACTGAGAGGAGAAAGTCCCGAGTAACATCATGCATCCGGAAACAGTCTTCCACATCACTATCCAATAACAAACAACAAGCTTTAAGATTCTCAATGATTGTATGCACCCTGTCTCTTGCTTCTTCTAATGTATGAACATCTTGGAACACCCTTAAACCTGTTCCATATCTCACCAAATATTCGATTGGAATGTCAAGGTCTTCTTTGAACAAGCTGCAAATCAAGAAGCAAGACTTTGATTCTTCATCTTTTAGAAAGTTAAAGCTCAGCTCCAGTGATGCAAAGATATTTGAATACAATCCTTTAACATCATTAGTTGTAGAACTACTCCTTAACTGACGAAGTGCATCACGCCAAGCATGTTTACTCCTGTGTCTTAAAGCTCGGGCAACTGTTACAATTGCAAGAGGCAAACCTGAGCATCTTTTAGCAATCTTAGTGGCTATAGGATTAAGATCTGTAGAATCAACTGCATCGCCTGCCATTTTCCTAAACAAATTCCAAGATTCCACTTGAGATAAAACATCCATATGGAAATTTCTTTGAGCATTCATAGCATTACATACGTCTAGACTTCTTGATGTCAAGATAATCTTGCACCCTTTATGAAGATTTCCCTGTGGGATGCCAATAGTCCTCAAATCAAGTGGTGTCCATACATCATCCATGATGATCAGGATCCTCTTTACTTGATTCAGCCTTTCGCGTAAACGTGCAGTCCTCAGAAGCTCACCTTCCTCCTTCAGATTCAGTTCCAACATCTCTGCAAGATCACCTTGAAGTTTTCTCAGGTTAGGCTTGTGGGAAACCACCACCATGACCATTTCATCGAACAGCTGGAGTGCATCAGCCTGTCTGGCAACTTCTTCCACAAAAGTAGTCTTCCCTATACCACCCATACCATATACACCAATGATGTTGATATTATCATCTTCCAGTGCCTCCATTATCAATCTTAGCTGTGCTTTTCTTGATTCAAAACCATCTAAATCTCCTAAGGATGCGGTAGCAGTAGCACCAGTACTAGGCCATATGGGAGGTCGACGAGCAGGCTGTGAAACATAATCGAACTTTCCCCTCTCAACAAGCTCATCAACAGCCGCTCTTTTCTTCTTGGCTTCTCTACTACTTCGGTAAATCAACTTCAAGTCGGGGCAAGACCCACTGAAGCATCTGTGATTTCTATCAACCTCGCCACTCAAAAAATTCTGAGATTCTGTTGCTAAACCGTTTGCTTTGGCAAGCCAATCTTGAACAATTGGGAGAATTATATCTCCATTCCTTTCAGCTATGTTCACCTGCTGTTGAACCCCAAATCGAGTATTTTCCAGAAACAAAATCTGGTTTCTTAAACCATTGATGTTGGTATTATGGTGGAAAATGTAATCAAATGGATGTACGATCGGACGAGCCGTATATTCAAGCAGCTTTGCGAGCACAGAAACAACAATATCTACAGCCGTCATTTCTTAAACTGGTTGTTCTTTCAGAAGGGTAACGGAACATGAAAAGCAAAAATCAGCAAGATATTTGGAGCAGCAAAATCAGTTCCCCATTCAAAGATGAAGAGTAATCTACACATTGACTTCTTGGTTCTTCTAAGAAATTGCCGTTTATTAACTTTTGATAAGTAAATTAAGACAAAATTTCATAAATGGTCCTTATTTTTTTTAGACTTTTGGCTTTTGTCCCTAACTTTTTTTTGTTACAATGGTATGGTTTTGGTATGGTTTTAGTTTCAAGTATGATTGGTTTAGCCATATGAAAAACTTTATACCCTTTTAAATATCTTTTATATTTTTCTTTTATTTATATTTGATTTATATAAATATTAAAGGCTTAGAGCAATATGGCTCGTCATACCTTTACCATATACACTTATACCTATTACTCACTTCACCTTTGTCATTTCTTCCCCTTGTTCTCTTCCCCCTATCGCCACCACTAGATGCTATACATTTAATGTATACATAATTACCAAGATCCATACTACCACTAGATGCTATAAATTTAATGTATACATAATTACCAGGATCCATACCACCACGTTTATTTGTATTTAGATTCACAAGGTTTGTATTTGGATTCACAAGGTTTGTGGTTTTCCATGTTAATGATGTTATTATGTCAAGTCATTCATCTGATTTGATGAACTTTGATTATAAGAGTTATAAAATAAGATCCCTTAAATGCCTTTATCCAGTCTCCAATGGCTTCTTGGGCCCCGAAATGTAGCCATTTTACAGCATATATCATTATATGAGAAAACGTCACACGTGGGTCTGATTTCATCATCATCCTATGAAAAAAATGACTTCTTCATCATATGGTGGTAAAGGAAACCAAATACGACTATAGTAACATACCTAATACAATTTGGTGGTGAAGTTGGTTATAAGGTTTAACAGGGTGAATAAAAAGGATGTATCTTATACTAAAAATCAAGATTACAACAAAAATCTACAAGATCGAATATGAAGCTCAGCTTGTGTGCCACTTTTGGATTCAACAACAAAAAAGAGCCATAACTCATCAGAAAAGGGGTGGACGGGAGTTAAGGTCATGAGTCTCCGACCACTGACGAACTCCTTGCACCCTTTTTGTCCTTTATTTATCATCATAACCCACATATGCATGCACATCAATTCATAGGAAGCACACACAAGATAAGAAGATTAAGAGGAAGAACACACCAGATTCAGAAAATTTAGACTAAAATTCTTATGAATCGAGGAGGTGGGGGTAAAGCACATGCAACCAACCCTTGGTGTTGATTAAGAGGAATCACACACCAGAGAAGATCGATTGAAGATCGTCGAAGGCTACATTGTTGGAAAGAGTGTCCAAGGTCATTAATTATTGGTAATATTTCTAATAATAGCATGTTCCTTTTGGGTTTCCCTCATGACCCATTTAAGCAAAAATAATTTAGGAGAAAGTAGTTTGTTAATTTTTCATGGCTTGATAAATTAATTAGAAACTATTTTGGGATTAGTTGGAATTAATTAATTCAAAGGAGTTGAATGTTAATTAATTAATAGTTAATTAATTGAAATTTCTAGAATCCCTGAAAGATATGGTAAGGGAAGAAATTGGATAAGGCTTATCCAGGGTTTTGGAGTTACTTTGGGACTAAGAAACTAAAGCTTGTAAATAGGGTGTTAGGGATCAAACCGTGTTTTCTCATTCTTGAATTTTTGTTCTCTCTTATTCCCTTAAGGAGGATCGGAAATCTTAACCCTTCTAGGGTTTGTAGAATCTTCGCTCTTGCTCCTCTCTCGTAGTTTCTTTTGCTTTTTGGTGTTCTTGAGTGTGAACCAAAAGAGGGATTCCGGTTTGGATCCATTCATCCAAACAAGTGTAACGTCCCGAAAATCATGACATATTTTTTTTTAGATTAATAAAATCATTAATACATATCCTTCCCATAAAACCGAGGTAGCCAAGATTTAACAAAACATCATCAAATCAGAGTAATTCATAGAATGCGTAAACTTGGGGTGTGTGCTCTGCAATCATCCCGATCTCTTCCATTTGAAAATTGGAGTACCTGAAACATAAACTGAAAACCGTAAGCACAAAGCTTAGTGAGTTCCCCAAAAATACCACGTAACGTACAACTACGGAATATCATGCAACATGTATATAGTTGCCATGGGCTCCCCTCATGGTCTTTACCTGGAATGCCATAGGCTCCCCCCATGGTCTAATATCCAAGTGTCATGGGCTCCCCCATGGTCTTTGCCTGGAATGTTATGGGCTCCCCCCATGGTCTGATATCCAAGTGTCATGGGCTACCTCCATGGTCTTTCATGCAAGTATCACAGAGACAAATAGCATTCCACATAACATGTAATGGGCTAGCATTGGTGCCTTCGACCCATGGATATAGTGAGAAGACTCACCTCGCACTGTTGGATTCCACGGATAAATCTCTGGCTGCTGGCTAACCGAACCCCGAACTATCAATATCAAAACAACACCTCATTAACAATTGGGTTCCAATCCATAACCATAAATCCATGCTTGGGGTAAAAATACCATTTTACCCCTAACATATATTGGCCAAGACTTAGGCCCAAACTCACAATCTGCAAGACTCAAAGCCCAAATAATCAACCAAGGCCCAAATATGGCCCAATTTTCCAAATTGGGCCAAAACCCCTTACATGGGCCTTACCCTAAAGCCCAACCATTCTTCCTAGTCCAAAACACTTGTACTCAGATGGCCCATTAATAAATCAAACGCCCAAGCCCAAAAGAAAGCCCCAAATAAAGCCCAAGATGCAAAACCTCATCTGACTAAGTATGCCCCGCGTACTCAGTGGGTACGCTAAGCGTACGCCCAAGAAACCCAGTACGCCCCGCGTACTGACCCTTCCCACATCCAACCTAGAAACGTCTTAATCCAATAAGCCAACACGTCCAAAACCTCAGAATAGCTAAATATAAGTGACTTGATACATAAAGTCGAACGCTTTAAACCTTTGCATGGCTTAATGAAGCCCAACACCAAAGATGAACTCCAAATGTCAAAATCACTCCAAAATGTCTTAAAACTTCTTAATACCTTACGACCTTAGTCCAAACTTCCAGATATGATTCAAAGGGACTTCTTATGTCATAAAGTGTCACACCCCCAAACCGGAACGACGGAAACGTTCAGAGGCGGAGGACGTCATGTACAATATCACAACAATTGCATAATAGTAATCAAAGCAAACACAACCATTACATTGATAAAATATAGTATTTACATCTGTTTAATACATAATATGTATGACATCAAAAATGTATAGCAAAAGTATAAAAGACGCGACTCTATGATCTCCGTCTTCTCAAAACCTGTGGGTATACTTGTCTACCGGTTCCCTGAGAATACAAGTTATTTTGAAAGTGTATCAACATTAAGTTGGTGAGTTCATAAGTATGTTTTGAGATGGAAAGCTTGTTCTTGTTATTTGAAAATGTTATAGTGTACTTCCAGAAAATCCAATATTTTCTCTAGTAAATGAAATGTAGTCTTAGACCTTAAGACTAAAATGTATGTTTGTTACTGTACTCTGAAATAGTGATCCGTAGTCTTATTAATAGATTAAACTATATCATGAATGTTCTTGAAATTTTGTTTATTGTACTAGTATACTCGGTACTAGAAAAGTACTGTATTGTAGTAGTGTTTGTATGAATGCCTGGAATCCACCAGTTGTAGTGTATAATAGTGTACGGTAGTTTCATTATTTAAAATAAAACCTTTGAAGTAGTATTAATCCCATAAACAAATATTTTAGTTGATACTATTGTGAGTTTCATATAACCATGCTTGATATGACTAGTGGCCTCTACGACGTTCTTCAGGCGTCAGAATGTTATGACATTTGTCACCCCAGGCCTGTCGGCCTAGCTATTGCAAGCAGCTCAGGGGCGGGATTGTCAGTCCCGTATAGATCTATACACAAATCCACGCTCTCCCTCCAGGAGACTCTGGTTATAATTTATAGGACTTAGAACTGTACCCTGGTGGGTACTCCGAAGTAGTGCCTCACAACCATGTATTTACTAGTTTACGTGTAGTGTAGTAGTGTTCTCTTGTAATTGAAATTGTATGTAGTAGTAGTGTACTTTGTAATGTAAAATAATTATACATAAATAATTATTTTAGTAGTGTATCCTTGAGTTAGTGAAATAGAGTAGTGTTCCATAAACTATACCTATTATAGTTTATATACTTGTTCTTGTATAGTGTTCTTGAATTTGTAAAATAACATAGTGTTTCTCAAACTATACCAATTATAGTTTAAATGTATGTCATGTAATGTACTGAAGCATTTGCAATTTAACAGTGTGCATAAAGCAATAGTAAGATGTTTGTGGAAAAATACCCTTTTGCTCGACATGCTACAAAAGGGTTAAAAATATATATAATCATATTTTGATGAATGCAATGAAACAATTGCAAATGGTTTGAAACGGTTTTGAAATCGTTTGAATATTAACACAAGAGTCCTTGTGTTTAACTTGTATTCTCCCCTAAAACATTGAAAAATAGTGAAAACGGAGGGGTATGAACTCACCTCTAGTGTGTGTTCAAGTCTGGATAACGGAACTGTAGAGATGATCCTCGGGCTAGCGTACTTGGAAAGAACGGTATCCTAATATTATTTATACATGTAATCGTATTTAAATTAGCGAAATAATTAATTAAAGTGTTCAACAACACTTAATATATGTAAGGATTACTTACAAAGATTACCGAGGATTATTTTGGAGTGTTGATAGGGGTTTTCGGTCTAGCCTTCACCGCAATCACTTGATTTCGGTCTTAAATCTCAACCGAGAACCAAGTTCACGGTCTTAAAGGTGTTCTCGGTCAGGAGTGAGTTTTCGGTCTAAGCATTTTTCGGTCAGCTTGAAGATATGAAGATTGTTCTTGGTGTTCTTGGTGAAAATTATGAAGATTTGAAGA